CTCTGTCTCCCTCTGGTGAAATTAAAAAATAATAAAAAATAAAATGGATAATTATTTTTTAAAAAATACTCTTTTTGAACTCTTGTTACACCTATCTGACTGTTAATCCAAATCAGAAGCTGAGGTGTCACCAGGGTGCTTCTTTTTCCATCAATTATCATATTCCATTGGGTAGCCAATCTATTTTCCCAACATGTATTTTCTCCATTCCCAAAGATCATCTTTAGGAATCCCTGGAAATTTTAAGTACATTTTGGGAAAGAGAATAACAGCTTTGCAACAGATTCTAGGGGTGATAGGGGAATATTATATCCAAAAGGTCAACCATTGCTAATCTCTTCCCCCCAATTCCTCTATTCTGTCAGCTTAAAATTCTTTAATGACCTTCAGCATGCAGTGTGAGCTTCCAAGAACTGTTTTGTAAGGCCCTTCCCATCTTCCCTCTCCAGTCTTCCTGCTGTAATCAACACCCTGGCAGATTATGCCAACTGGTGTCACCCACCACCCCTCGTCCCCCAATTTCTCTGCATGTGTTGTTCCCTGAAAGGGCCATTGCTTTTAGCTTGCCTGCAATCTCTGATTCATTCTTAAGACCCAATTCAAAGTCATTTACTCCAGACACATCCCAGACACCAGCCTGCCCTCAGGGAGATTGTATCACTACCTGGATTCATGCTGCATGCACTCTTTGTACAGTGACCTGTGCATTTATCACTCTGTACCTTGATTCTTTATTTATAAGTCTGTTTTCTTACTAGACTGGGAGAACCACTGATGGGCTAGACCACTCATTTACATATACCCAGCATGTGGCACAGTGCCTGACTTTCAGTAAATGAACAATGAATTATACATAAATGAAACTAATAAACAATTACAACTGTAGAGCACTTTACAACTCACACATAGTTTATCTCTTGATTTTCACAACAAGACTGACAAAGTAGACAAAGGTTTATTACCAGAGGTTAAGGAGGCCTTGCCAAGGTCACAAACCATAACTTAGCATCTTCCTCCAGTAGTAGTAAATCAAGGATCATGGAAATATCTATTTGAAATTGAGTAAACTTGGTAAACTTTTGCATTGACTGTCACAAAAGTGAAGGTCTGTCCAACTTTCCTGAACTTGTGACTTTTTGTGAATTTGCCTAGGCACACTCTGGGTAAGGGTGTTGTGCCTCTTATTCTCTCTACCCACACATCCCCACAAGTGAGATAACTTACACATCCCTTACACATACCCTTATGCATCCCTACAAGAGAGATAACTTCCCACAAAAAAGTTAATTCAGTCAAAAGAAAGCCACAGGATTCTTTTGTTTCTGTCTACTTCATCAATGAGAATGACCCAGTGATGGATACAACGTTTTGCATACAGTAGACAGTCAATAAATACTGGTTGAGTAAATGAAAGAATAAGCTATCTTTAAATAGAAAAAAAAGAAAAATACAGTTAAGAAGCAGCTAAAGGTGTAGGCAGGGGAGGAAGAGATGAAGCTGAAGGAGTGTCACTATCCAAATCCTACAGTCAGAAAGCAGAGCATACAATGTAGAGAGCAGAGCACATCCAAACTGACACACGAAAAACAAGATGAACTGCTAAAAATTATAGTGGAAAGAGGTAGTCTGAAATGAAAAATAAATAAATAAATAAAAATGATCGAAAGGTAGATCCTGCAAGCTACAGGCAGAGTTTATCAATGATTCCCAACAAAATTCTAGAATGTATTTTTTAAATGGTTCTTATAAACTATGTAATTACTGGGCACCCAGAATTACTAGGTTCCTTAACAGTAAGATATTAACATGTAAGAATAGCCAAATATTCTTTTTTGATTTTTGAGAGGTTTTTTTTTTTTTTTGCTATAGGGCACGTGTGCTTGCCAGAAAGACAGAGACAGAGAGACAGAAAGAGAGAAATCACCCCCCAGGGGGGATGGCCATGCCGCAATCCCTTCTCCTCCATTCTCCTCTTGGTATCTTGGGCACGCATGCACACGTGTCCGGCGTGAGTTTAAGCCACTGGGTCTGGAACTCGAACTGCAGTCGACTACATGGGAGTCCAGCGACATAGCCATTACGCTAACTGCTGGTCCCCCAAATATTCTTTTTGAATGGGGTACTGGGCAGGAAAATAAGACAAATGCTAGACAGTTTCATTTCAAAAAGAAATCTTAGAAAATGTCTTATGATTTTTTGAAAATGGAGAAATGGAGGATAGAAAAGAACGAAGCCTAGTGGCTCTACAGCAGAATGTTGAATGCATTATAGCAAATATCGTACAATGCATCACAAATCTCCTTATCATGTGTTCTAGTATTCTATATTTAGTGGAGTCCTTATAAACATTTTCATCAAAAAAAGTACATGATATTGTCTAACTCACTAGTGCTTAAAACAGTGCCTGGTAAATAGAAATGTGATCAATAAATACTTTTAGATAAGTGAACTCACAGAAAGTCTACTCAACTAAGTTTATAGATCATATAAAATAGGAAGATAGTTAATAATAAGATAGTTGATAGTTAATATTACCTTTATTTCATGAAGGACATGATAGTTTTATTTTGTTTTGTTTTTAACCAATATTTTTGCCATCTATTTACCCACCTAAAATGACAGCTGGCTGGCAAAAGGGTTAAAAAATTTTCATAGAGGTTAAGAAATGGTTCTTAACCATAGAAATGGTTAAAAGAGCCAGATCCCACCGTGGTTCGAATTCTGGCCCCAATGCTTGAAGAACATACTGGGCATTTGTGTGTGCATGCTCAAAATCCCAACAGGATGAAGAAATGGAGTAGATGGGATTGCAGTGTGACTCCTCTTTCCCCCTAAACAGTAAAAAAAAGTTCACAGGGGGCTGACCAAAAACAAAAACACTCAAACCCCCCCTACAAAAAAAAAAAAAAAAGAAAGGAAGAAAGAAAGAGAGAAAGAAAGAAAGGAGGAGAAAGAAAAAAGAAAACAGCTCTAGAAGAGTTGACAAACTATAGTATTTAGGCCAAATCTAAGCTGCTGCTTATTTTTGTAAACAAAGTTTTACAGAAACACATCCATGCCCATTCATTTGTGCACAGTCCATGTTTGCTTCTGCACTACAACACTTGGCAGAGTGGTCATAACTGAGATCAACTGGCTCACAAAGCTTAAAGTGTTTACTGTCTGGCTCTTTCCAGAAAACTTTGTTGCTCATTGATGTCAAACACTGACTATGTGTATGAACCTGGAGAGAACTATTAGAATACAAAGCTGCAAAATCTGAATGCTGGTGGTGAAGACTGGTATGACAGCAGAAATATGATTGGATGGGTGCATGGCTCTGAAATTCTGTGAAACCAAGAACATTTACAGAGAAGGATCCTAAGAGCAGATGAGAAGAACTCAAATAACCCCCTTCCCCCTTCCACCCTGCCTGCTTCAGCATATGTTCCACCTTGCTTTTTGCTGAAAGAACCAAACAGAAGACAGAGTCAAGAAGGCAATGCTGTGTTTGAATGAGGAGAGGACAGACCATAAGCTGAGTCACTACTATCAGACTACAAATACCAGGCAAGTTTGCTACTCAATGAAATCCTGTTTGAAACAAAGTGAACACAATGCCACCAGCTCAGTGGAGAATCCAGGGTAGGTAGGTAGAGGTCATGGCCTGCACATGGAACTGGCAGCTGAGGAGGAAAGAGATATGGGCAGATGAGAAGAGGCTGAGACTCTGAGAACATTCAGACGAGAAGCTGAGGGTAGGTTGCAATTATTGACAAGGACAAGGAAGCCTCTGTGGAGGATCTAGCCTCACCAATGGAGCCTCAACAGAAAGACCAGGTTTAGAGGTAGAGAGGCATAGGGAGGGTGACTTCCTACTTCACCTGTGCAACAACTTTGACTCTCTTGGATACTCCCTTCATGCCACTGATTTGAGAAACCTCCTGGGGGCAGCAATGCCACCTCCACTCGGGGTTACCACACACCCACATCAGTATGGCAGCCTCAGTGGCAGCTCTGAGCTGTTAGTACATTGCTCCCCTGAGCTGAATCTCCCTGAGTTGGCAAGACTGTCTTTCTTCATGGCATCACTGCTGACCCTTAAAAGCAGCCACTGCTCAAATGCCCTCTTGTTGGAAATCTCAGGGAATCTAGCCTCTGTGAGTGATCTCGGAAAAAGGGCAGGTGGTAGGGACAGGTTGGACAAGCAAAAGCTCAAATGTAAAATATAAAAGCCAAAGCATCCTGCCTTCTTTTCAAGCCCACTTTGGATGAACCATCCATCAGAGGCAACACAGATAGACTTGTCCAGGTATCCTCCAACAGACACATGGCCAAATCCTGGTAACATATGCATATCACCTCTGCCTTCTGAAATTTAGAAAACCACCTCTGCTCACAAGTCCCAGAAGGGGCAAGGATGACTACCACATTACAAAGGTAGGCATTGAAGCACAGAAAAGGTCTGTGGTTGTCTTGGATCACAGAGAAGACCAGCTCCAAAGAGATTGTGTTTTACACACTAGAAGGGAGAAGAGAAGTATTCACAGTATTATGTGGGGACTTTTGAGGCTAAGGGAAATAATGAGGCTGTGTGCTAGTTCTGAAGTAGGAAGTGGGGCAGGGTAAATCTGCAGGAAGGAGAAGAGGGATAAATCCACATTCCATGAAGTTGCCTTAATAATTTTATTGAAACCTTCTTCACTATCCATTCATCTGAGACTCTATAGGCTGATGCTTTTGGGAAGATACCAGTTGAGAGATATTCTGCTGGCCCCTCACCATCATTAATTAGATCATGAAATCAGGCCTCTATTTCTTTCCCCAAGGTTTTGAAGTGACATAAATTACAGAGGCAGAGAGATCAGGAAGGGTATCTGTCTCAAGCTCTTTGGGAGATCCACAAGTCCCCAGAGGAGAGGGTCTTGCAGGGTCTCTGAGTTGCTGGCAGAACTGCCACAGAGCATGACAGTAGAAAACTGCAGGGCAACTCCCAGAGCAACAAGGCAGCCCACACTTACCTTCCAAAGAGTGGATTCCCTGCTCCTTGGCAGTCTTGTAAACACTGCTGAAATCATCTCCAAGGTTTGGGTCAGCCCCAGCAGCAAGCAGGACCTGCACCACACTGGAAGATACCAGAAAGGCATAAGTGTCAAAAGCAGAAGACGCTTTTGAGGAGGTAGAGAACCAGATCTGGAAGCATCTTCAGGGACTGGATCTGCCTCTGCTCACATGGTGAGAACATGGAAAGAACATAAACACTGGAAGTGTAAAAGAGTGGGGAAAACAAGTCTAAAATGTATCAGTTGAGGGACTTGGGACGAGTTACTTAACACCTCTCTAAGGCTGGTTTCCATAAGTATAAAATTCAAATATTATTCAATACTTACTTATCAAATGTCTGCCATATTCTAGTCACCATTCCATACCCTCATGGAAATGACAGTCTGCTGGGAAGGGCAACAATTAGGCATAAACATAGCAAAGTGTGATAAAGGTTCTATCAGGAGAAGTACTGTGTATAGTACAAAAAGGGAGGGGACTGAAAAGGTCTCCCAACGGACATCAGCAAGATGGTAGAACAGGACTTTCCACTGCTTCTCTCCACAATAGAAACACCAATCTGAACAACTACAACATATAAAAATACCTCCGCAATGGGACCAGCAGTTGGAATGTCCTGGACCTCCATGCAGTCGACCGTGGCTCGAGTCCCATAACTGGCGGCTTAAACTCATGCCAGGCGCATGTGCGTGCATGTGTGCCCAGAATCCCAAGAGGAGAATGGAGAAGGGATTATGGTATGGCCATCGCCCCCCGAGGGGGTGATTTCTCACTTTCTGTCTCTCTTTCTGGTGAGCGCATGTACCCTATAGCAAAAAGACCTCTCCCCACCCCACCTCACCTCCCAAAAAAACCTTGACAAGAGCTAGGAAACCAGGTGAGAGGTTATAGGATCTTACTCTAACACAGAAACTCCCAACTTCAGGCAGCAATGTGGAGAGGCTATCCTTTGTGTGGAGGAAAGAAAGTGAGCACTGGCCTTTTTCTTGGACTCCAACACCAGGCTCACCCCAGTAAAAGCCAGCACTAGGCAGGATGCCATGGCTTCAAATTCTTGGCTGGTTCCCACTGACTGCAACTCCAGGTCTGTTCTGGCACCAGGCCAGATCCCACAGCCCTAGGTTATAGGCCTGCCCAGTTGACCCAATCTCTGGTCTGACCTCAGCCTCTAGACTGCCTACAGCACTAGGGTAAGCCCAGCAGCTCTAGTCATCAGGCCAGCCCTACAGATACAGGTTCCAGACCTGTTCAAACAAGATTCTACTGGGTTGTCAGAAAAATCATGGTGTATTTTAAAAATGTATTACTATTATTATTTATACATGTAATTGCTATACATCATTTAGCTTATAAAGGGAATTTACCCAAGATGAAATACACCACACACCAGTTGAGGATACCATACATGTTATAAATGTAATAAACCATTTCTGTGTCCCACAAATGTCTTACTTCTCCATTTTTTCTCGCTAATTTCCTTCCCTACATTCTTCTCCATTCCCACTCTCCTTCCACACTGCCTCCAGTGTCTAAAATTATTTTCAATTATTTAATGCCCTCTGATCTTTCAGTCTCTACCATAGAATGTGAATAGTCAGTATATGTTAAGTGGAGACATACAATGTCTCTCTTTCATAGCCTGACTTGCTTCACTCAGCAATAAATCTTCCTTATTTGCTCACTTTCTATTAAATGCCAGGGTCTTATTTTTTATGGCTGAATAGTATTCCATGGAATATATGTGCCACACTTTTTCAATCCATTCATCTATCTGTGGACATTTGGATTGGTTCCATGTCTTAGCAATTGTGAATAATGCTGAAATAAACATAGATGTGCAAGCACTTTTCTGACTGAGCATTCTCCTGTCCTTTGGGTAGATACCCAGGATGAAACCGCTGGTTCAAATGGTAGTTCTATTTGTAGATCTTCGAGGAACCCCCATATTGTTTTCCAAAGTGGCTGGACCAATTTACATTCCCACCAACAGTGTAGGAGAGCTCCCTTTTCACCACAACCTTGCCAACACTTAACATTTTTTGTATTTGTAATCTTCACCATTCTGACAGTGGTTAGGTGGTATCTCATTGTGGTTTAATCTGTATCTTCCTTATGATGAGGGATGTTGAGCATTTTTTCACATGCTTTTTGGCTGTTCATATGTCTACAAAGACTGGAAAAAGTTACTTCTTCAAATGCACAGACACCGACACACAGCCCCAAGAATCAAAACAATTAAAGGAAAAAGGTCCCCAGAAAAGCACCGACAACTAACCCTAAGGAAATGGAGATTTATAACCTCCCTGACAAAGAATTCAAAATAATTGTTTTAAGGAAGCTTGGCAAACTTCAAAAACATAGAGAATGAAATAAGAAATTTAACAGAGAGATTAAACTATAATATATATATAAAATCCTGGTGCTGAGAAAAGTTAAATGAATGAAATGAAAAGTGCAACAGAGGGCATCAACAGCAGAACTGATTAAGCAAGGAAAGAATCTGTGTACTCAAAGACAGGTTATTTAAAAGTACACAATCAGAGAAGAGAGAAGAAAACAAATGAAAATGAATGAAGAAAGATTACAGGATTTAAGGAACAGCATTAAAGGGGCAGATGTTGAAGTTAGAGAGTTCAAAAAGAAGAAGCGAAGGAGTAAAAAGCCATCAGATGGGGCCAGCAGTTAGCGTAATGGCTATGTTGCTGGACTCCCACGTAGTCGACAGCAGTTCGAGTCCCGGACCCTGTGGCTTAAAACACGCCGGGCACGTGTGCATGTGTGCCCAAGATCCCAAGAGGAGAATGGAGGAGAAGGGATTGCGGCGTGGCCATCCCCCTTGTGGGGTGATTTCTCGCTTTCTGTCTCTCTGTCTCTCTCTGTCTGGTGAGCGCACGCGCCCTATAGCAAAAACCTCTCCAAAAAAAGAAAGCCATCAGATCTGATTTACAAGAAATGCTAAAGGGAGTCTTCAGGATTAAAAAAAAGAACACTAATTAGTAAAAAAAAAAAAAATACAAAAGTATAAAATTCAGTAGTGAAAGTACACAGTAAAATTCAGAGTAGTCTAAGACTGTAATGGTGGTAGATAAATCATTGCTTCCTTCCTTCCTTCCTTTCTTTTTTAAGTTTGCTATAGGGCATGTGTGCTCATGAGATAGAGAGACAGAGAGAGAAGAGAAGAGAGAGAGAGGAGAGGAGGGGAAAGAGAGCGAGAGAGGGAGGGAGGGAGAGAGAGAGAGGGGGGGAGAGAGAGAGAGAGAGAGAGAGAGAGAGAGAGAGAGAGAGATCATCCCCGAGGGGGCCACGCTATAATCCCTTCTCCTCCATTCTCCTCCTGGGATTTTGGGCATGCATACATGCATGCCAGGTACATGTTTCGAGCAACTCAGTTCAGGACTCAAACCCCAGTAGGTCATGTGGGAGTCCAAGCGCTTTAACTACCATCCCACCTGTTGCCCCTAAGTATAAGCATTTTTAAAAATAATTATTTAATTTTATCATTATTATTATTTTAATTTAATCAGAGAGAGAAAGTGAGAGAGACAGGGAAAGTAAAGAAGCAAGTCATTGGGTCTGGGACTTGAACTACAGTCAGCCACATGGGAGTCCAGGGTCTTTAACCAACACACCATCTGCCAGTCCCTGTACAAGCATTTTTAAGGGTTTTAATAAACATTACTAAATTGCCTTTCAAAAAGATTGCACAAATTTTCATTTTACTACTAAGCAGTGAACAAAGTATGAGAGTAACTGTTATTTCTTCCCTTCACCATAACAGAATGATTTTTGTTTTTCTTTTTCACAGTGTATTAATTTAGAAAAAAAAAAAGCAAAAAACCTGAAATCACACTGTTGTTTCAACTAACATTTCTTTGGTTATGAGTAAGGCTGAATATTTTTAAAAAACACTAATAGTTTTGTTTATTTTTTTCATGAATCTAACTTTGCCCATTTTCTCTTGGTATGTTTATTGTCTGCTCAATATTCAAAATTATTAATGCTTTCAAAACTTCAAAACTGTTAATGTTTTTGAAGGCATAAATGGTAAAAATTTAAAAACAAATTATTCTAGTTATCCTTTTTTGGTTTTGTTTTGTTTTTTAGGTTTTTGTCATAGGTTTTTTAGTGCATTTGCCAGAAAGAAACAGAGGCAGAGAGAGGGAAAGTGAGAAATCACCTCCTAGAAAGATGATTATGCTGCAATCCTTTAGCTTCTCAGGATTTTGGGCCCACATATACACATGCCCACTGTGATTTTCAAGCCACCAGGTCTGGGGCTTGAACCAGGGTCAGTCATGTGGTAGTCCAGGGCCTCAACCATCATGATACATGCTGGCGCCCAGAAACTATTTACTCTTAGTTTCCACACAATTTGAATTATAACTGGCATTAGATTTCCTATTTCCCAGAAGTTTAAAAGCTCTAAGAGACTACAAGAAAGACTTACCTAACTGCAAACAGTGTTAAACAGTACCTTATAGAGAGGTAGTATGGTATGGAGGTTAGGAATATTGGCTGTAAAATTCACCTTACTTGGAACCAAAGAAATGAAAGTTGAAATAACATTTGACTAATGATAGTAATGAATTATAAACCATTTAGCACAATAAGATTCCGAGAGTCTACAATGAAAGTAAATTAATTAGGGCCAGCCCCATAGCACAGGGTTAAGTACTCAGTACCAGATCCCATGTGGCCAACCATGGTTCAAAGCTTGGCCCTGGCAGCTTGAATACACATTGGGTATGCATATGTGTGTGCTCTCCATTCCACTAGGATGGAAAAGAATTGTGGTTGGACTATGCCTCATTGGAGGGTTCTCTCTCCCTCTCTTTCTGGTGAGTGCTCACATCCTCTGACAACCAGTCAAAAAAAAGGAAGGGGCCAGCAGGTGGCATGGTGGTTGAGGCACTAGAATTCCCAAATGGCCGACCATGGTTCAAGTCCTGGACCTGGTGGCTTGCTTTCTCATTCTCCCTCTCCTGTTCTGTCTTTTTCTGACAAAACTCATGTGAAATAAATAAATAAAGAAATAATTACTTTCTTTTTTTAAAAAGGAAG